AACAAATGTATCCACTTAAATAACATTTATACTAATAAGTGTCTGTGTGTGTGTGTGTGTGTGTGTGGATTAATTTTTCCATTAAAATAAAAATTTCCTGGATTTCTCCAGTCGCAATATTCAAATTTCTATAAACTTCAAATTGAAATGCTTTTTATTTAAAATTATGGATATAAATATCATTTGTTTCTAAATACCAAAGACCTCAAGACATTCACAAATACCAAAGACTTCAAGACATTAATAAATACCAAATACCTCAAGACATTAATAAATACCAAAGACCTCAAGGCATTAATACCAAAGACATCAAGGCATCAGAAAATACCAAAGACCCTAGGACATTAACAATCCATAGAAACTGAAGTAATAAAAAAAATTAAACACAACTGAATACCTCTTTCCCCTCTCTTCTAAAATGGGCATAACCAGGTGATATGTGGTGTATACTACTGGATTCTCCCATCAATTTCGAAGTACAAAGGTCAAGCAGCTCAGTTCTTAGAACCAATAGCCAGACTACCTGCACATATCTTTTGATTATAGTGGTGAAGGCTTGTGAAGAACCAACCACAGTTTTTGGAAGAGTTGAATACTGAGAACTAATGCACAGTATGACACAAGGTCCCCAAACGACTCTCCACAGGTTTTGAATTCAGGGTTATCATTCTCCTAGACCGTTCGTTACCCAAGATTATAGGGCCCAGTCTGTCCTGCTATTCAACCCATAGCTGAGGGGAGAAGAGATGGATTCATACCTTTCTCAAGTGTATTAGCACGTAAGTGAATGTAATAAACTTGACTGGAATTTGAACTCAATCCAAATGGCTATCCATTACTCCACCATGACATACATACATACATACATACATACATACATACATACATACATACATATATCATAATTATTTTCTTTTTTAAAAATATGTTTCCATCACAACACAGAAATTTCTGTTTTAAAACTGAAACTAAAGTTGTAAATTTAATTAAAAAAATTAAATTTAAAATCCAGAGTTTTGTTCCATTGTCAAGTGATGTTAGAAATAACTTTCTAAGAAATTTACTTAATTTATTGATATATATATATATATATATATATATATATATGTATATAAATAAAAAGAAAGAACAGTAAGATATAAAATCCGGTGTTCTTATAGATATTTTATTTTTACAAAATAGTGCTCAATGTAAATTTACAGAGCATTAATATTATAAATTAATTGATTTAAAATATGCTTATTTTCGCTATTTATTTATTTAAGCGAAAATAACCATATTTTAAATCAATTAATTTATAATATATATATATATATATATATATATATATATATGTCGCAATGATTCTTCATTACCACTCATTGCAAGAGGAACTCAAGCTGATGAAATTAATGTTGGCCTGAAAAATTCTTATATCTGGAGCCATGTTTAAAGACTCAGCCTGAAAACCAATATGAGTGTTAGAATCACAGGTGACCTTTCTTTTTCAAAAATATGTTTCCATCACAACACAGAAATTTCTATGTTTCAAAACTGAAACTAAAGTTGTAAATTTAATTATAAAAATTAAACTTAAAATCCAGAGTTTTGTTCCATTGTCAAGTGATGTTAGGAATAACTTTCTAAGAAATTTACTTAATTTATAAATGCAAACAAGCTTAATATTTTGAGTTGTTAAGCTTAAGGAAAATTCAATCTATTTTGATTAGGGGTGGTTGGGTTTTAATTTCCTTAGACAACTTATGTACCAAATATATGATATATGTTACTTACAAAATCAGGTTAAGTTTAGGTGGGGTGGAGATGCCTGCTCACAAACATAGACATCTGTTATTCAGCGTGTCGTCTGGGTTTTCAACGACAAAAAAATTTTGGCATTTTTATTCATCTGTTTAATTCATATTTTTATACACAAAGATTTTCTAAAGGGGTCATTTAAATATGAGTAAGTCATATTTTTAATATTTAAATTATATTCCTACCGATTTAAAGTACCATTCCTCCTTCAAATAACTAATAGACTATACGGTATCTTTACAATTAAATATATTAGAATTTAATTAATTAATGATCAAGTATAAATATGTATGTTTCACCTCTCTTCTTTTTTTATTTTTTAAAATTTTTTTATTCTTTCTTATTATTTTAATATATGTATATATGTGTGTGTGTGTGTGCATGTGTAAAATAATGGAAAATCTTAATGGAAAAAACAACCCTTAATAATATCAATTATGAACATGCCCACAATGTACTGGCTGTATTCAGTAACCAACAATATCTCTACTTTTCTACAATAGCATTTAAACACCATTTATATTTGAAATACTGTAATATGAGAACAGTATATTTTTTTTCCATTTGAAATGAGCTATTGAAAGTTAGAGATTTGTGTCTCTTTAAGTTGAAAAGGTGTGACACAGTGAAATTCGCAGATAGATGAATAAATCGGATATGTTATTTTATTAGAAAACTTTATGGAAATATTTTGCCAATGTCACTCTCAAACCCAACCCATTTTCCTGTGCGTTGTTTTCAATTTAGTCGGAGGTGCTCACAAAATTTTTTTACAGTTATAAAAAAAATTCACGGGGAAAGATTATACTCATAATAAAATAAAATAATGTGATCTCAAGTGTCATACAGTGACACGAGTGGCCAGTCATTCAGTTCATTTATACAGGCTAAATCGATCAGCTGCTTTATTAGCCTGGACCAAATGGCCCGGACTAAATCTGCCTCCCCCAGCAGCTAACAAGGACACAGTGCCGGTTCCCTTGGAGAATATATCTTTTCTATACCTTTTCAACTTCAAAATGATAATAATCAACTTCAAAATGAACTTATTTTCAGGTAAAAGAATTAATCAACTCCAAAATGGATTAATCAACTTCAAAATGGAACAATCAACTTCAAAATGGATTAATCAACTTCAAATTGGATCAATCAACTTCAAAATGGAACAATCAACTTCAAAATGGATTAATCAACTTCAAATTGGATCAATCAACTTCAAAATGGAACAATCAACTTCAAAATGGATTAATCAACTTCAAATTGGATCAATCAACTTCAAAATGGAACAATCAACTTCAAATTGAGAAAATGTCAAAAACCTAAAAACAATCAACTTCAAAATGAGAATAAACAACTTCAAATTGGAATAAACAACTTCAAATTGAGATATTTTTTTTGTAAATTGAAATATTGGATGTATTAGTAATAACGGATTAATTCATCATAAAATTAAAAGAGGTTCTTTCAAAAAAGAGGATGTGAAAGAATGGACCTTAGAAAGGCAAATGGAATTTGTGAAAATGGAGTTGTCTTAGTTATTGATAATGTCCCTTGCCATACTTCAATTGAAGAAGTTGTTGAGGATGATGAATATAGGCAACACCAAATTTTCAGACTTGCCCCCTATAGTCCGATGTTAAATCCCATTGAAAAGGTTTTGTCAGTCATTATAGCTGACGTAAAAAGAAGTATGGCAGACTCAATTGTTGGGATTTTAAGAGGTGATGGCCAGGGATCTTTAACTACTAAAGAATTCCGCCTCAGCAAGATAGAAGGGATGATCTCCGAGGCAATTAATAATATTTCTCCTGAGACTTGCACTAACTTCGTATCTGGAATACAGAGATTACTTCCCTCTGTAATTAATTTAGATGATGTAATCTTTTAAATAAATTTCTTAGGAACGTTTATATTTTTTTATATCCCTTTTAAGTAAAAATAAAAGAATAAATATTAAATTTATTAGTATTATATTAATTCTCAATTTGAAATTGATTAATCCAATTTGAAGTTGATTATTTCTCATTTTGAAGTTGTTTTCCAATTTGAAGTTGATTAATCCATTTTGAAGTTGATTAATCCATTTTGGAGTTGATTAATTTTTTTATTTGAAAATAAGTCCATTTTGAAGTTGATTATTATCATTTTGAAGTTGTAAAGGTATAGATATAGAAAGAAACTCTGGCTCACAGTCCTCAATTTGGGAAAATCCATAATGCTGTAGCATAACTAAAATCCTTGACACTGGCTAATCATCATCATTATCAGGTCAAGAATTCTTCTTGGATTCTCCTGACATGTTCCTTCCAACCATCTCTGTCAGACATCACCATTGGCAGGTCCTCCAGATAACATCCAGAGTCATCTACAAGTTGGTCAATGTAGGTGTAATGAGGTCTTCCAATTGATCTTTTGTTGTGCAATGGATTCTATAGAAGGGTGTCACTCACAAGTTCTGACTCACTTCTCCAGGAAAGACCAGCTAGCCAAAGCTTTCTTTCTCTTAGCGTACTAACTTTCACCCAAAACACTGGCTAATAAATTATCCAGAAGAACTTAGAATCCAAAAACATTTGGACAATTTCTGCACCCATTAAGTCTAGAAAAAATATTTGTTTGCATACAAAGAAGGATATAAAAACCTTAAAAATACCTTATCAATCTTGTTTAACAAAACATGTATTAAAGAGAAATTGTTGTTAAAATACACACTTTATATATAAGTGGTAGTGTAGTTATGGCAGCCACTGAACATGGACAGAATTTAACATGGTTTGAACATGGAATAATTGGATCAGAAAGTGAGGACAGTATTTATGAGGTTTTTCTCAGTTGACAGTAGAAAAGGTATACAAGGAATACTACTGTACTGATGCGGCATTCACCCCCGGCGGATTGAGCCGGCTTCTTCCTGTTATGAGAAGATTCTTGGGATAAATTACAGAAGTAGGGGCACCAGGGCCTACTTGGATAACGTTCTTGCTTGCCGTGGGGTTCCCACAGACGCAGAGACAGGAACGACCAGAAACCGCCAAGTTGCCGATGCAGACGCTCCTTGGATTTTCACCAGAGCCCTTGTTAGCGGCGTGTGTGTCAGACCTGTCCGCCTTTGGTGGCCCTACCAGGAACGAAGTTCGGCGGTATAGCTCTGACACTACCGTTTACACCCCCACCGACTGTGAGGTAAGGGTTGGACTTTGTTTCTGGTCAAATCACGCTGAAAACACGGTTCTCGTTCGATCACGAAGTTAAGCATCGTAGAGCCAGGTCAGTACTTAGATGGGGGACCGCTTAGGAACACCTGGTACTGTAAGCCCCCAAAGTCCAACCCTATACAAGGAATATATGAATGCTGGACAGAAATTAGCATCAACTGGAAACTGTAGATACCCACAGTTGATACAAGAACACGAATGTTGGCTACTGACCAGTATGATAACTGTTAAGGGGTCCACCCCTTTTTGATACAAGTGGACTCGCCCAGTGTGTACTTGTACTAATGCCGGTCAGTGAGGAAAGTGGGTGGCTAAAGGGGATTAGAATCCAGTAAAAATTTCTTTTTCTTTAAAAAAAATATGTATGGCAAATTCTAACTTATTGATATTAATCATTTTTTTTCTCATATTCTCTCTCGGTAACCCCTTGCATCTTAGTAGCTTTATTGCCTCGTTTGAGGTGAAATGATTAAAAATATTTACGCTTAAAGAAGACATATTCTTATAATGGTAACATTAGCCATTTTCTTATAAGGAAACATTTACTAACTGAGAAGTAAATGCTATTTTTGATTGAAATTTATAAAATCTATTAAAATATTTTTTCAGGAAAATGTGGGGGCCCTTTCTAACCTTTTATTTGAAGTTGTGTGGAATGTCAATATTTTAATTATGTCATCATTTTCACTTTGAGTGACATTTAATATCCATTTCAGTAGTTACTGCTGTTGAAATTCCTCAAGTAATGTGGCTTCTGGTACAGTTCTGTAGCATCAAGCTATGGGGTTTGAAGAAAAATGGTTCTAAAACCTATATGTTTCACTTATTTGTAGCCATTTTAACCATTGATTTTAGAAATCAGTTGTATACAACTGACAGTTTAGATATTTCTGAAGGGTTTTGACATCATGCATGACATCCATATGAAAGTCATGATTTGACGAAGCTATTTAAGAACATGAGTTTTTAGTTTTGTCATAGTTTGCAGTGTTCAGTAAAACTACCATTAGTGCAGTCTTACACTTCTTAAAAATCGTCAGATGAAGAGAAAAAGGTGACTCCGCATGACACCCATGGAACTATCCATGGGGAGCATACACCCAATTCTTGTTATTTCTGATGGTCCTGATAGTTGTGAGCAACATGGCTCATCTCATGCTTCCCCTCTTATTCTCATAAAGCTTCAGTAACAATTCTACCACTTGCCGTGAGATGCTAAACTGATGTAATGGAATAACCCGGCACCCCCATGAATGATTACACTATAGGTATTAAGTACCTATAAAGTCAACTGTCTACGAGAGACTTAAGGAAGAGTGTGAGAGAGAATAATGCTCTCTCCGTTTCTTCACTGTCTAACTCTTTGCCTTCAGCAGAGAAGAACCCGGATCAGGCTTTGCCAAAGGGCAAAGTTTCGTCCTGGGAGGTAGACAGACCATGAACCCGCTTATGCGGATTCTCAGGGAATATTTTTGGCCAAGTCTACGGGCTCGGAGAAGCTACAGTAAACTCGGCCTTGTGCCATATACATCCCTCGTGAGGGGGGATGTTTAATATTGAGTGAGAGGAAGAAGACTCAAGCACATCCAACCTTCAAATTAGTGGCACTTACTACTAGATTGACCTGCGTGTATAACTGTACCGTATTTCATATTGTACTGGTTGTTTATAATAAACCTTTCTTCTATTATCCACCTGGTGTTAAGTATTTATTCCCTTAGCATGGAATATAACATAAACAAGCCCTGGTTTCACCCTAATGCCATATTACGGTCTTTAGTCTTGGCTTCCATCTACTTTGTATTGCTATAGGCCAGTCATGGACAAACTGGCCTGCGAGCCTCATGCAAGCCCATTTGGATTTCTGAATGGCACACCTAATTTATGTTCATCATAAGTTTATTTCATTTGTTCTCACTTGTTCACTCACATAACCACATGCATAAACAATCATTAATACAATGTTTCTTGAATTTTTTAAACTTTCAGTGAAGGTAATATTTTCATGATTTTAAACCATTGACAATTTTCAATAAGGAAGATCATGTGTAAACATCTTTTGCTTTAGAAACAGGAAATATTCATAGAAGAAATATATTTTATCTTTTAAAAATATTTTTTTATGTAGTCAAATGAATTAGAAACAAATTACTGACAGGATTGTGTGTTAATCACATTGTCACCATGATACTATTAGAACAAGACTTTAATTTTTAATGATAGAAAAAATATTTTCTCAAAAAAAAAAAAAATCAACTTTCCCCCAATTTCTATATCACATGCTTACTTATATTTATAGTCTTCTGTAGTGAAAATGACTGAGAAATCTTCAAGGAAAAAATACCTTGATTTTTTTTTTTTTTTAGAGGCCAACTATTGATAAGTTATATCTTATATGGCCCAATCTTCAAAAAATGTTACCTATGACTGTCATAGTGAAACACACCTATTCTATTGTTTTATTTATTTATTGTTAATGAACTCTCCCACCTATAATAAGTAGGAGTAGTAGCAGTTGCTGAGTCAGTTGCTCAAGAAGTTGGTCAGTCAGTCGATGTCAGACGACCGTTAGTCGGATATTAAAGTATCAGCCACCACAACTAGATTGCTGCGTCATTAACTATTATATCAAGTTCCTAATGTTTTGTACGTCAAACCTATTTTAGGACCGACAGTGAAATACAAGCCTCCACTGTGAAACTACTTTATAACAACTTGGCAACGAGGGATTCGAACTCATACGGAGGAAGAAAAACTTTTCGTACTCTACAACATAGACAATGGACATTAATAATTATTGTGGCTTTTTCTTCTTAAAAATTAAAATAATCTTTTTGCAACAGTTAGTTATAATAAATTAGTAAATGTATTCCAGTCGAACTGCTCTATCCCACATGGCCCAAAATTTTAATGAGCATGTCACCCACATGTGACCTTTTACCTTTCCTAATTTGAATGCCCTGAGGTGTTGCTGAGAAGGAGACTGACCAACCAGTATCAAAAACTCATTTAAGGTGACATCAAGATTGCCGATGAGGCCAAGAGCAGTTTTATTGAATAACCTTTTCCTATTTTTTTCTTTTTGTTTTCTTGATTATCTTTGTTTTTCTTTTTATTATAATTTGCTCTTGATTACCTGGTTCATCTATGATACTATGGACATCCATGTAGAAAATGAAGATGTGATTTTATCTTGATCTCATGTTCTTCTGTTTAATAGGTTGTCCTTTCTGCAATTACTAAACAGCATCCATTTTGACCAAACGGGAATGGAAAGTGTAGAGTGATTGGCCATAGTTAAATGTAAATGGCCAGCAAACAGAATTGACAAGGTTTGCAATAAAACAATAACAAGAGAAAGAAAAGAACAGGGCAAAAATATTATTAAGCAAGCAAACATTATATGCAAAGCAAAGCAACAGTAATAAGGCAAAAGGTTCACCAAGTAAGAATGGTGTTAACAAACTAAAAGGGATGCAGACAAGCGATCATAGCATTTTAAAGGCTTCAAGACAAGAAAAAACAGAACTAAGAAGGATGAAAAGTGTCCTATCTTATTGGCTAGGAAGAAATCCCAGCATGCATCTCTGTGTTTTGTGTATAAATTTGGGGAGGGGGATGTTTTTGCAGTCATTCTATAATGGATTATACCTGGTCTGCAGACCAATGGAAGCAAATCATGTTCTCAGACAAATCCAGTTTTTCACTTTTCCCATCTTCAGGGTGAGTTTATGCATGGAGACAGCCCAAAGAAGCTTACAACCCTGACTGCCTTCTTCTAACAGTGAAGCATGGAGGTGGATCAGTGATAGTTTGGGTCACCATATCATGGAAATGTTTCAGTCCAATAGTTGCCCTGTATGGTAGAATCAACAGCAAAGAATACCTGAACATTTTGGGAGATCATGTTCATCCAATGGCCCAGATTTTATTCCCTAATGGTGACTGCATCTTCCAAGATGATAATGCTCCAATACATACCGCTCGAGTGGTTAAGAATTTGTATGAAGAGCATGAAAGTGAGTTAGAACACATGGAGTTGCCTCCCCAATTTCCAGATATCAATATTATTGAACATTTGTGGTGCATTTTGGAGCAACAAGTTAGGAGCCACTATCCTCCACCACCGTGTCTTAAAGAGCTGGAACAGGTGTTAATGGAAGAATGGCTGAAAATTCCTCTGGATGAAGTCAGGAAGTTGTATTATTTTGTCAAACCCCTATATATATATATATATATATATATATATATTAGGATAACAAAATAAACCGGTAATACCTGACCATTCTACTTATAATGCACCACTGTCCAGCAGATATAAAGAGCCAAACTAACACCCAACATACATGGCCTGAAGATTGTGTTCAAGCATGAAACAGACTATCACCACTCTGCAGGTGGTTAGAGGCTGTGAACAAGAAATTGGTGAGCCATGTTCAAATTCTGGTTGTGATCATTACATTCATGCAAATACCTGTGGAAAAGGTATGAATCCATTTCTTTTCTCCCCCAAGCTCTGGTTTAAATAGCAGAATCGACTAGACGCTAGCCGTACCTGTCAATTAATTTTAGGGGACAATTCCGAATTCAAAACAATATGAGACCCTAACATGCTACATACTTGAACTTTAACTAAGGTGTGCTCATCATTTTTTTCTCTTATTTGCTGTCCCTTCACCAAGTCAGTGATCATGGCTCTCTACAACTTCCTGTCTTTTGTAGCTCTTAGTAAATTGTCTTTTTGTTATCTCTTTTAAACCCTGTTGTCATTCATTTACACAAACTTGTTATTTGCTGTTTTCCTATCCCTTCAATGTCCTATGAGTGTCAAATTTTCCAAGCCCCTTTTCCTCATTATGTATCCTAGAAATTTCATCTCTTTTCAATGTTAAGAATAAATGTTCTTTTTGTTTCCATTTTCTTTAAAATTTCATCATTGTGAGCTCAGTCTGTGGTATTCTCAATATCCTTCTGTAGAACCACATTTGTGGTATAAACTAGAGGTTGGCTTTGTGGGTGCTGAAGAAACAGAAATGGGTCTGAGCAGATGAGCATACTCAGAAATGAGCAACCATATTGAAGATGAGAAATCACACTCAT